AAAAAGCGATCACGAAAAACCCGGAAGTTACCATTAACATGTAGTTCCAGGGAGCTAGCTAGCTTAGCTGTTACCTGCCTAGCACGTCCCGGTGGAACCTTTGGGAGCTAACTATTTTATTTGCAGTTATTGAATACATTTCGAATTGTAAGGGCTGTCTTTTATGTGTTTGAATATATATTTTTTATTTTTATTTTAGAATTATATTCTAGTGACACTTGGAGAGGGGTGATCGGGAAGAGCGGCCCCCCTGATCTGAACCCGAGCGGTGCTCAGTTGTTGGACTTCTGTGCCAGTCACGGTTTGTCCATCACGAACACCATGTTCGAGCACAAGGGTGTCCACCAGTGCACGTGGCACCAGGACACCCTAGGCCGGAGGTCGATGATCGACTTTGTTGTCGTATCATCTGACCTTCGACCGCGTGTCTCGGACACTCGGGTAAAGAGAGGGGCGGAGCTGTCAACCGATCATCACCTGGTCATGAGTTGGATCCGCTGGCAGGGGAAGAAGCCGGTCAGACCTGGCAGACCCAAGCGTATAGTGAGGGTCTGCTGGGAACGTCTCGCTGAGCCCCCTGTCAGACGGACTTTCAACTCACACCTCCGGGAGAGTTTCTCCCAGGTCCCGGCGGAGGAGGGGGACATGGAGTCCGAGTGGACCATGTTCTCTGCCTCAATCGCCGATGCGGCGGCTCGTAGCTGTGGTCGCAAGGTCTCTGGTGCTGGTCCCGGCGGCAACCCCCGAACCCGGTGGTGGACACCGGCAGTAAGGGATGCTGTCAGGCTGAAGAAGGAGTCCTATCGAGCCATGATGGTTCGGGGGACTCCTGAGGCAGCTGTCCAGTACCGGCAGGCCAAGCGTGCCGCGGCCCGGGCTGTTGCAGAGGCAAAAACCCGGGACTGGGAGGAGTTCGGAGAGTCCATGGAGCATGACTATCGGTCGGCCTCGAAGAGATTCTGGCAAACCATCCGGCGCCTCAGGAGGGGGAAGCAGTTCTTTGCCAGCACCATGTACGGTGCGGGTGGAGAGCTGCTGACATCGACTGGGGATATTGTCGGGCGGTGGAAGGAATACTTTGAGGTTCTCCTCAATCCCCCCGTCACGTCCTCTGTTACAGAGGCAGAGGCTGAGGATGTTGGGGCGGGTACATCCATCTCCCTGGCTGAGGTCACCAAGGTGGTTGGTAGCCTCCATGGTGGCAAGGCTCCGGGTGTGGATGAGATCCGCCCTGATTATCTAAAGTCTCTGGATGTTGTAGGACTGTCTTGGCTGACACGTCTCTGCAACATCGCGTGGCGATCGGGGGCAGTGCCAATGGAGTGGCAGACCGGGGTGGTGGTCCCTCTCTACAAGAAGGGGGACCGGAGGGTATGTTCCAATTATCGTGGGATCACACTCCTCAGCCTCCCCGGTAAGGTCTACTCCAAGGTACTGGAGAGGAGGCTACGGCCGATGGTCGAATCTCGGATCCAGGCGGAGCAGTGTGGTTTTCGTCCCGGTCGCGGAACACTGGACCAGCTCTATACTCTCCATCGGATACTCGAGGGTTCATGGGAGTTCGCCCAACCTGTCCACATGTGCTTTGTGGATTTGGAGAAGGCGTTCGACTGTGTTCCCCGGGGTGTCCTTTGGGGGGTTCTCCGGGAGTACGGGGTCGGGGGTCCTCTGCTGAGGGCCATCCGATCCCTGTATGACCAGAGCCAGAGCTGTGTTCGCATTGCCGGCAGTAAGTCAGACCTGTTCCCGGTGAATGTTGGCCTCCGACAGGGCTGCCCTTTGTCACCGGTTCTGTTCACTGTATTTATGGACAGAATATCTAGGCGCAGCCAGGGGTCGGAGGGGGTCCGGTTCGGAGACCACAGGATTTCATCTCTGCTGTTTGCGGACGATGTTCTCCTGTTGGCTCCAACGAACCAGGACCTGCAGCATGCACTGGGACGGTTTGCAGCCGAGTGTGAAGCGGCTGGGATGAGAATCAGCACCTCCAAATCCGAGGCCATGGTCCTCGACCGGAAAAAGGTGCCTTGCCCTCTGCAGGTGGGTGGAGAGGTCCTTCCTCAAGTGGAGGAGTTCAAGTATCTCGGGGTCTTGTTCACGAGTGAGGGAAGAATGGAGCGTGAGATTGACAGGCGGATCGGTGCAGCGTGCGCAGTTATGCGGTCGCTGTATCGGACCGTTGTGGTGAAGAGGGAGCTGAGCCGAAAGGCAAAGCTCTCGATTTACCGGTCAATCTTCGTTCCCTCCCTCATCTATGGTCATGAGCTTTGGGTAATGACCGAAAGAACGAGATCGCGGATACAAGCGGTCGAAATGAGCTTCCTCCGCAGAGTGGCTGGGCGCTCCCTTAGAGATAGGGTGAGGAGCTCAGTCACACGGGAGGAGCTCGGAGTAGAACCGCTGCTTCTCCACGTCGAGAGGAACCAGTTGAGGTGGCTCGGGCATCTGTTCCGGATGCCTCCTGGACGCCTCCCTGGGGAGGTGTTCCGGACACGTCCCACCGGGAGGAGGCCCCGCGGAAGACCCAGGACACGCTGGAGAGACTATGTCTCTCAGCTGGCCTGGGAACGCCTTGGGGTCCCCCCGGACGAGCTGGAGGAAGTGTGTGTGGATAGGGAAGTCTGGGCGTCTCTGCTTAGACTGCTGCCCCCGCGACCCGGCAACGGATAAAGCGGAAGAAAATGGATGGATGGATGGATGGAGAATTATATTCGAATTTCGAAGCCGAAGTCCTGGTGTTAAGCAGCGCTGTAGAGGCTAGAGGACGCAGGCAGTGTTGCCAACTCCTCAGTAACGGGAAAGGAGCTATGCGGCTGGCCCAATAATCGCTAGAAGTCGCTAAATGACGTCTTCGCCGCCGACAATTCCTCTCCAACCCCAACTCCTCTCTGCCTCATCTCTCCTAATATCCTTACTTCGCCCGCCACCCCTCGCCCATCCTCCTCCGACTAGCGCGCGAGGCGGGAGCGAGAATGTGGGAGGTGTGAGGAGGTTTGGGGGGGAGGGAGGGTAGGGGGCGGGGTTGGCGCGGAGAGACAAAAGTTGAATTGGGGTAAAAAACACCCTGAGATATGGGGTGGGATAATATGAGAGTACATTTTTGAAGATCTGACATTTAACTACTGGTAAGTGGTGGTTTGGCTGTGGCGAATAGGGCGCTTGTAAGTGTTTGAGAATATAGGTCGATGAGAGGGTATGTAAATATTCCTATATCGAGAGTCATTTGTGAGATATGTTGGGCATATAGGTTAGATGAGGTCATACGCGGTGCATGGGTATGGTTCGTAGTTAGAGAGGTAAAAGAGTATGTTAATATTGCACAGGAGTCTCGGGTGATATGTTGGTCTTGGGAGGGATACGCCTCCCCAGACCGTGGTGGGAGGAGGGGCAGCGGATGGTGGGCGTTGAGGAGGGTATTGGTGGAAATTAATTATGTAGAGGAGTGAGGGGGGATGGTGTTACATCGTAGAATCCAATGTGAGAACACACACATATTTTGAATGATTATTTTTATAAATGTATTATTATTTATTCGGGTGTTTGTAGGTTAGTGGTGTTTTTGGTGTGGCGAGAGCCCCCTCACTATGTTTTTTTTTAGGGTGTGAGGAGGGTTGTTCAGTCCCAGCCTCTATATATCTATACTATCAGTCAACGAGATAGGAATAAAGGGGTGTATAAGGGGGGGATGCTACATAGGTGAGGCGGCAGGGGGAGGGAATTCTCGCCGTAACCAGGGGTTTCTTTTTATTGGGGGGTTTAAAAAGATATAAGTAGAAGTGGGTGGGAGGGGGATTTGTGTGGATGTTGGTTATGGGGGGTTTTTTTAGGGGGGGGGTGGGGAGGGAGGAATGGAAATTGTGTTTAGTATATGTTGAGTGTATTGGTTATGTAGGAAGTGTTAGGATTTTTTAGTGAGGGGTTTTAAGGGGGGGTGTATTAGTGGTAGGAGTAGGTGTGTTTGGGGTTTGTGAGTTGGGGTTTGGGGGTTATATGGGGGTGTGGAATAGTGTGGTTAGGAGTAAGGAGAGAGAGAAGGAGAGAGGAAAGGGGGGAAGAAGTGGGAAGAGAAAGTTTGGAGGGAAAGGGAGTGAGATAGTGGGGAAAGATATAGAGAGGGAGAGAGAGAGGGGAGAGAAAGGGGAAAGAGAGGGGAGAGGAATAAGGGATAAAGAAGGTTGGTATAAGTGCTGGGGGGAGGGATATTTCGTAGGGGGGGTGTTGATGACTAGGTTTGGTTGTTTTTTTTCCATGTATTCCTCGTGTTCAAAACGATGTGCAAACAACTAAACCAGCGTCATGTGATCCGCAGTGTGTGTGTGTGTGTGTGTGTGTGTGTGTGTGTGTGTGTGTGTGTGTGTGGGTGTGTGTGTGTGTGTGTGTGTGTGTGTGTGTGTGTGTGTGTGTGTGTGTGTGTGTGTGTGTGTGTGTGTGTGTGTGTGTGTGTGTGTGTGTGTGTGTGTGTGTGTGTGGTGTGTGTGTGTTGTGTGTGTGTGTGTGTGTGTGTGTGTCTCTTTATACTGTTGCAGCACATGTCGAAAGTCTACCCAGAAAAGAAAGCGGCTGAGAAAAGCAAATGTTTGATCAGGTTTTCATGGACTTCAGACTGTTATTTTCTATAACGTCACATGTCGTTATATGTTGTTTTGATTGAATGTTGCATATAGTTTGCAAATGAAATCTTAATCCGTAGTTAGCTTGTTATAATTTCTCATTAATCTGAAACCAGGAACAAGTCTCGACTAACATGCCTGAAACTATTGAGTAAGATGAGTGGTCTGTCAATGCACTAAATCACAACAGTCATAATCTCAAAGGAATTTACAAAGCTGTCGATTTTGCCGACACAGATCAGAGAATCAAATTATGCATTGGGCCATCAGTGGCAGATGACCAATGTTCACAAATGTTGTCTCATATCAAATGTCTCGGATCACCACCTCCGTCCTTAGAGCCTCGTCTGTATTGTCTCTTCTCACTGTACATTTGTCCTCCTCTTACAGTGATCCCCAACACTCTGAAGGTGTCCCCGACAGCCCCGTCCCCGTTGGTCTCGGAGAGCGGCGACATCGTCCTCTCATGCAACGTGACGCGGGAGCTCACCCAGCCCACCTACCTGTCCGTCACCTGGTCCATCCGCAAGTCCAAGACCCTGGAGACAGAGGAAATCCTGTCGTTCGGGCCCCAGGGAGAGGTTACCACAGGGCCCAAGTACACGCGCCGCTATTCTGACGGCAGCGTGCGCCTGGTCCCAGGGAGGAACGGCGTTTTTGAGCTGGTCATCGCCAAAGTCACCACCTCTGACGACGGCACGTACGGGTGCACCGGGACGGAGTGGGCACACGAGAGCAGCGGCCAGTGGCTCCAGATCGTGGAGAGCACCAAGGAGATGGGGCCAGTCGCTGTGACGCCCATCAGTGAGTTTCATTCCATTCAAATCAATTTATTTTTGTATCAGCCATAATCACAACAATGGTTATCTCAGAGGACTGTACAAACATGTCTATTCACCAACACAGATTTTGAAAACACACAGAGCCATTGGTCCATAAGTGTTCATTTATGTTCATGGTCTTCTCTGGCTACTCTCTGGTCTCTTTCTGGCCTCTCCCTCTGGCCTCTTTCTCTGGCCTCTCTCGCTCTCTGGCCTCTCTCTCTGCCTTCTCTCTCTGGCCTCTCTCTCTCTGGCCTCTCTCTCTCTCTGGCCTCTCTCTCTCTCTGGCCTCTCTCTCTGGCCTCTCTCTCCCTGCCTCTCTCTGGCCTCTCTCTGGCCTCTCTCTCTGGCCTCTCTCTCTGGCCTCTCTCGCTCTCTGGCCTCTCTCTCTGCCTTCTCTCTCTGGCCTCTCTCTCTCTGGCCTCTCTCTGCCTTCTCTCTGGCCTCTCTCTCTGGCCTCTCTCACTGGCCTCTCTCACTGGCCTCTCTCTCTGGCCTTTCTCTCTCTCTCTGGCCTCTCTCTCTGGCCTTTCTCTCTCTCTCTGGCCTCTCTCCTCTCTCTCTCTCGCTCTCTGGCTCTCTCTCTCTCTCTACCTCTCTCTCTCTCTCTGGCCTCTCTCTCTCTGGCCTCTCTCTCTGGCCTCTCTCTCTCTGGCCTCTCTCTCTGGCCTCTCTCTCTGGCCTCTCTCTCTCTGGCCTCTCTCTCTCTGGCCTCTCTCTCTCTGGCCTCTCTCTCTCTGGCCTCTCTCTCTCTGGCCTCTCTCACTGGCCTCTCTCTCTGGCCTTTCTCTCTCTCTCTCTGGCCTCTCTCTCTCTGGCCTCTCTCACTGGCCTCTCTCTCTGGCCTTTCTCTCTCACAGGCCTCTCTCTCTGGCCTCTCTCTCTCTGGCCTCTCTCTCTCTGGCCTCTCTCACTGGCCTCTCTCTCTGGCCTTTCTCTCTCTCTCTGGCCTCTCTCTCTCTGGCCTCTCTCTCTCTGGCCTCTCTCTCTCACAGGCCTCTCTCTCTGGCCTCTCTCTCTCTGGCCTCTCTCTCTCTGGCCTCTCTCTCACTGGCCTCTCTCTCTGGCCTTTCTCTCTCTCTCTGGCCTCTCTCTCTCTGGCCTCTCTCTCTGGGCTCTCTCTGGCCGCTCTCTCTGGCCTCTCTCTCTCTCACTGGCCTCTCTCTCTGCCTTCTCTCTCTGGCCTCTCTCTCTGGCCTCTCTCTCTCTGGCCTCTCTCTCTGGCCTTTCTCTCTCTGGCCTTTCTCTCTCTGGCCGCTCTCTCTGGCCGCTCTCTCTGGCCTCTCTCTCTCTCACTGGCCTCTCTCTCTGGCCTCTCTCTCTGGCCTCTCTCTCTGGCCTCTCTCTCTCTGGCTTCTCTCTCTCTCACTGGTCCCTCTCTCTCTGCCATCTATCTCTCTGGCCACCCTCTTTAGTCTCTGTTTGGCCTCTCTCTCTCTGGCCTCTCTGGTGGGACTTTCTTTGTTAGCTATTGCTCAATAAATAAATAAATTGACCAAACTGAGTCGACAATAAGGGTGACAGTAGCTCAGTTGGTAGAGCATTGGCCTTTGGGCCTGAAGGTTGTGGGTTCGAGCCCACCGTAAGACCTACTTCACGACTTCCACTGATGACTGCTGTCGTTGTGTCCTTGGGCAAGACACTTAACCCTACTTTGCCCAAAGCCCCCACTGAAAGATCTCCGCTCCTGTGGACTCACCACCTGCAGGAGGATCAGTGAGGGCTGGTGCTCTGTGGACTGTGTGCAGCTCTGACTGCCGCCCCCCCGACCCGGAAATGGATTATCAATCAATCAATCAATCAATCTTTATTTATAGGGCGCTTTTCCTGCACAGGGCAACACAAAGCGCCTCACAGTCCACACCACACAATGCACAAATCATCACCATTAAAATACAATTAAAAACACATATGTAATTAAAAAGCATTAAAATCACATAAGTAATTTAAAAACATAAGAATCACACAAGTAATTAAAAACAATAAAATAGTTAAAAACACAAAAAAAAAAAAGTTACAACAATAAATAACAAGGTGTGTTAAAAAGATAAAATTCTCTAGTTGTATGCACAGGAAAAAAGAAAAGTCTTTAACATGGATTTGAACATTGACAGAGAGGCAGCCAGTCTCACATCCTCAGGAAGACTGTTCCAGACTTTAGCTGCATAGATCTGAAAAGCAGCCTCCCCCTGTCTAGTCCTGACTCTGGGCACTAACAAGAGTCCCGTCCCTGCGCTCCTCAGAGTCCGGGCTGGTTCATATGGGACTAGCATATCATGGATGTACTTTGGTGCAAGGCCATGGAGAGACTTGTACACCAGGAGAGCTGCTTTAAAGTCTATCCTCTGGGCCACGGGAAGCCAGTGCAGAGACCTGAGGACCGGACTAATGTGGTCGTACTTCCTGGTTCTAGTCAGGACTCGGGCTGCAGCATTTTGAATATACTGCAGCTGTTTTACTGCATGTTTGGAGATACCTGTGAGCAGGCCATTGCAGTAATTCAGCCTACTGGAAACAAAAGAATGGATAAGAATCTCCAAGTCTGCCCTGGACACAATATTTTTAATTTTGGCAATATTTTTCAGATGATAAAAAGCTGCTGATGTTACCGATCCAATGTGGCTATTGAAGTTTAAGTCAGAGTCCATTATTACTCCCAGATTTCTGACCTTATTTAAAGGCCTTAGGGAGAGAGACTGAAGGTGACAAATGACGGTCTCTCTTGTGTTTCTCGGGACCAAAGACAATCATTTCGGTTTTGTCCGCATTTAGCTGGAGAAAATTGCATTGCATCCACTCACTGATCCGCTGGATACAGTGAAGGACTGAGTCCACCGGTCCATGCTCTCCTGCAGTCAGTGAGACATAGATCTGAGTGTCATCAGCGTAATTGTGGTAGGACACTTTCATACTTTGAATTAACTGACCTAATGGCAGCATGTAAATATTGAACAGGAGAGGTCCCAGAATCGACCCCTGTGGCACTCCGCAGGTCAGGGCCATATTATCTGAGACATAGTCTCCAATCTCCACACAATACTTCCTTTCTTCTAGATAGGACCTAAACCAGCTTAGGGCAGTACCAGCAACACCAACCAGTCTCCAGTCTCTGCATGAGAATCTCATGGTCAACGGTGTCGAAAGCGGCACTCAGATCTAACATGACTAAAACAGAGACTTTTCCTGCATCAGTGTTAAGCCGAATATCATTTGTTACCTTGACTAGAGCGGTCTCAGTACTGTGGTGTGGTCTAAAGCCAGACTGAAACATGTCAAATGAGTCATTAGATATTAAAAATTCAGTAAGTTGTTGGTAGGCAACTTTTTCAAGAATTTTTCCCATGAATGGCAGATTTGAGATGGGACGGTAATTTTCAAGTACCGCAGCATCCAAACTGCTCTTTTTTAGGAGGGGCCTGATGACTGCCTTTTTCAGGGCCATTGGAAATGTTCCAGATAAAAAAGACATGTTTACTATTTGTGTCAATGAGGGTAATAGACTACACATAACAGACTTCAGGAATCTAGGAGGTAGTACATCCAGACTGCAGGTAGAGGAACTAAGACCTGTGATTATCTCTTCAACAGTTTCATCATTGACAGGTGCAAATTGAGCTAGCTCACAAAGCCTCACTGGATGTTGCATTGTCACTTGTGTTGCAGAGGTGATGGCACTTCTGATACCCTGAACCTGTCTCTGAAGAACTGTGCAAACTCATTACACTGGATTTGGAGTAGTGTTCTAATGGCAACTCAACAGGGGGTTCGTTAATCTATTGATTGTTGAAAATAGAACACGCAGATTATTGCTGCAGCCTTCAATAGTTTCAGAAAAGTATAATTCTCTTGTTCTACGTAGTACTCTGTTAAACTCACACAACTTCTCTTTTAAGAGTTTATAATCACCCTGGAGGTTGGACTTTCTCCACTTTCTCTCTGCTCTCCGGCACTCTTGCTTCTGTGCCCTGACCGGGCCTGCTTTTATCCATGGGGCTTTTTGCTTATTTGTGACCATTTTTACCTTCACAGGGGCAATGGCGTCCAGAACATTCAACACACTAGAGGTGACAGAGTTAAACAGTTCATCTACAGTAGAACATGATGTGTTCTCAAAATGGATCATTCCCATAAATAGTTCACCCGTGTTTTCATTTAAGTGTCTACTTCTAACAATTTCATATTTAGCGGGTGGTCTGGTAGCAAAATACATGTTAAAAAATACACAGAAATGATCCGACAGAGCAACATCAACTACATTAACTTTTGAAATATTCACCCCTTTCGTGATAAGCAGGTCCAGGGTGTGTCCTCTGCTATGGGTGGGGCCACTCACATGCTGAGTGAGGCCAAAGGATTCAAGTATGGAACTCAGCTCTTTTGCGTATCTGTCATTAACATTATCCACATGAATATTAAAATCGCCTATAATGACTAAACCATCAAAATCTGTGCACACAACTGAAAGCAACTAAGTGAAATGATCAGTGAAACTATGGCATGACTGTGGCGGCTTGTACACAACAATAATAAGAATGGAAGAAGATTTCTTTTGTTCTATTTTAAAAGAAACATACTCAAATGATGAAAATTTCCCAAGAGACACTCTATGGGAGACAATACGATCTTTAAAAACTGCTGCTATGCCCCCCCCCCCCTTTTATTTTCTCGTGTTTCATATTCAAATTTGAAATTTGGTGGTGAGGCTTCTATTAAAACTGCATCTCCTGTATTATGGTCAAGCCATGTTTCAGTCATAAACATAAAATCAAGATCATACGAACAGATAAAATTATTAATTAAAAATGATTTGTTGCATAGTGATCTGACATTAAGTAGAGCAAGGTTAAAATTAATATCAGTGTCAGTGGGTTTAGTTGATTGATTACAAAGAACTGGAATTAGATTTCCAGAGTTGGACCGTCTAACTGCTGTCCTTCTTTTAAATTTGTGTTTATTCAAGTTAAAACACATTTCTGAGCTGGTGCGAGGAACACACACAGTCTCTATTGGTTTAAAAAGTGAACTCTGTTGTACTTTGTTAAGTTCCAGATGCATAACTGAGTCAGCACAGTTCAGTGGCAGGACTGTCGTTACACTGTCAGACGGACAGGGGTCAGTGTTTGCACCACAGTACTCACCCGGTGCCTGGTAAGGAGGAGGAGGAGGGGGGTGGTGGGGGCCGAGAAGCCTCAGATGTAAACAGTCACGCCCCCCTCCCTTCCCTTAAGGGGAAGAAAATGGATGGATGGAGTCGACAATAACATAACCTGATGCGCTCTTTATACAGCTGCAGTACTTTTGAAGTTAGTCTTAAGCAGGACTTGCCTCTGCTCTGCTTGTGCTCATATTCATTATCTTATCAATGGAGCAATACCGGAAATCCCATTGTTCTTAGGTCATTGTCGACTGGTGTTTTGGGAATGTCCAACTCCGTCTGGGCTTGTGCAGGATGTTAAATCATTAATGGACTGCGTGAGCCTCTCTGAGCATGTGTCAATATCCAAATGACTCATAACCCAGGACTAAACCACATCTAACCCAGACACAAACTGGGATTAAACTGGGCTTTCCTCTGTCAATGTCAAATGAATCCAACTCATATCAGAGTTTTGCCTTGAGTCGTGTCCTGTGGCTGCAAAGTGCTAAAGCACAGATATTGTCCCTGTCCTTGAGGGGAGGCTGAAAGTGTCCCTGTCCTTTATGTGCGCTGATAAGAGGCTAGACTATGTTCAGAGTCAAAACTAAGGACTAGAATATAATACTGTATAAATTTAACTAATGCAATCAGTAAGAAGCAGTTATAACCGTAAGCTAATAGTGCCTTCTAATAATATGAAGACGGGGCTGTGTCTCGATGTTGGTCACAGTATTTTAATTTTTAACAACAAAATGATTACTTATTTAGAAAAGTTATGTACCGCGAGCTTGAAACTATAGTGAGATGTATGGCTGGCCAAAGACCAAACCCCAGGACTAGAATCAGTTTTGTCATTATCAAGGTACAGCAACAGTGAAAATATAGTTTGGACATTTTCCATGATCAGCACAGACATGATCTTAAATTATGATCTTCGGAATAAACAAGGAGTTTGTAGTAAAATGAATAAATTTGTTAGTAATTTAAATAATTACACTTGCGAAGTATATACATATGACTTAGGTGAGCCAAAAAAGAGCAGGTCCCAATCAGCAAATTACAATAATATAGGGGACGCTCATTCCAAAACGTGCACATAAATGCCAGCCTATAATATAAATGAAAGGGAAGGATGAAGCTGATTGGCTGATGTCAGGTGGCTCTTCCTTTTCAGTTTTCTGTCTGAAAATCAATCAATCAAATTTTATAAATTTATAAAGCTCTTTTCATTACTAAAGAGCAACACAAAGGGCTTTACAGTGGGGTTAATAACCAATCCCGCCGGCCCATGGCCCCCACCCTACAACCCACCCCAATCCACACACACAAACACTACCGCATCGCACACACGAACACTCACATCAATCGCCGCTCGCATGCACACACTCTCACACACCAAATACAACAGTAAAACCATGAAGAGAGGAGACTGGACAGTTCAAGCAACCACTGATAATAGTGTCATCCAAAGCCGTCTGCACCAACAAGACCCCTGGCCACAGGGACGACACAGGACCCAGAGTACTCAACCTAGTCTCTAGCCCCACAAGAGTTCCGACCCCTCACCACACCGACCCTGCGCCCATGCCGAGCTCCTCCAGAGGAATCACTGGATACTAAAAACATTACAATAATAAAGCTAGAACACCGTGTTTAAATGTGAGACAAAAGGTTCTATCACACAATCAGAAAATTAGCAAAGACCAATAAGTTATAAAAAGCAGAAAAAAAAATTGTCAAAAAGATAAATAGAATATGTTAAAATGGGAATAATACTAATTAAAAGCGTAATCTAAAATAGGTGGTGTAGTGAGCCATGTTAAAATGAATGTTCTCTGAAAAGAGGATATGAAAGCAGTGACAAGAGCTAAAAAACCATGTGTAGAAATCTTTTGATGAACCATACTGGTTTAGAGCATAACTATTTTTCTTGAATAGCAGTAACCCCCTAAATGTGATTCAATCTGCACTAGGAATAACCTAAACTAACCTAGTCTCAACTGTGCATCAGAAATTGTTCAAAATATACAGATAATCCCACACAATATAGATTTAACCGAGACCTAAGCCTTATTAGACCTGCAAAAGGATGATACTTCGACTGCAACAGTTTTTAATATAACATTTGTGGCTAGTTATCTGTGGTTTAACAGTGCTGAATGTTACTCCGACTCATGTTTTTGCAGTTAGTGACAATTCGGACCAGTGAAGGTTAATATAATATAGTAACCCAGCGGAACTTTTCACATGTATAAATCCTGGGGCATGGAAGTGCTCCTACTTGTCCCCTGCTTCATACATTACCTTAATCCCACGGACCTTACTGCCCTGTGTCCTTTGCGGGTCCCGCCCACGTAAAGTACTCTGGCAACACAATCTCCCTCGCCTCTATCCCTAATGAAAACTCCTTGTGAGACTGTGAGCTTCGTAATTGACTGACCCTCAGTGCGCAAAGCAAATGCGCGTCTTCTTGCCGCTCTATCTCCATACAGGAGCGGCAGGCTCCGTTAGCCAATGAAACCAAAGTATTTATAGTTAGGAGCGTCGGAGTTACAGTCAATGGTGTGCGAGAGTAGAACACGGATGGGAATTGCCACACACGCTTCGTTTTGGGTAAAGCAAAGAGTATTAAAGGTACATATTCAAGCGACCGAGATCAGGGGAGCAGTATGGACCTGTTCAGAAAGCCAATTTGTCGCTGCAACTACTCAAACTTCTATGTACATAGATGAACTGCTAACATTAACTGTAGAGTGAAGTGGGTTCCTCTCGTGGCGCGAAGCAGTGACATATTTGGGTCCTCCTGGAGGCTCTAGGTCCGTATGTCACTGTCAAACATCAAAGTAAGGATCTTAGCTTTGTTATACATATATAGTCAGTCTCAACACATTTCTTTAGTTTTTCTTTTTATCACATCAAAACATACAATCAGACATTCATTTCACACTCTACATATCGCACCCTGGACACTGTTTAGAGGTTTTTAAATGTATATAATGTAATACTCTTGTACAGTGATGTCTGATCTAAATCAATGGGAAGGGTTAGTACTATTGGGTTTAAGATAAAGGGCTGAGAAATTCTGGTTTCAATGAGATATGACAAAGCCATTAATGACTTCCAATAAAGAGGGATTTCAAAGTAATGTTATGAACTTTTGACATGGACAAAATCTGTCCAGGTGAAAGAAGTTATTTATGAAAGTGTTAATAACCATACTAATAATCAAATCGATCATTGTCCCTTGCTCTCACAGTTCAGTGCTATCAATAGTTTGGCACATTAATCTCTGAAAAAAGCTGAATCTTAAAGCTGTGACAGGTTGCCAGACACTCTCAGCCCAAGAGTCAAATAGTGACTCACTGGATCTTGTACTTACTTAATCTGGAACATACAACGTTTTCTTATAAATGAAGATCGACTTGTTGTTGTGTGGACCAAGACTTCAGGGTCCAAACATCTAAAGTTAGTAACAGTTGTTATAAATCGCAGAGTATACTGTTTAATTTTGTATGTGTATTTATTTGTTTGAAATGTATTGTTCAACCAACATGGCTATAAGCGAGTTGTGATTTAGGGCCTGAATAAATAAATTGAAATGAAAGGTTCTAAATTATATTTCAAATTAAATCAATAGGAACGCATGTGGTCCTGGGGCCTGAGGTGCAGGGGAAACATGAGGTACCATGGATGGCTTGCGCAGATTGTCAGATGGTGTCGCTGATTGTGTGCTGGAGAGCAGGGGATAGTGTCACTGGTGAGGATGCAGATTTCCAGTGGTCTCATGGATGGTGCAGTGCAGCAGTGGTCCTGGGTGGCTGCTTGGAGCTAGCAGTGTGGTCTCTGGGTGTTGGTATGCCGTAAGATGGTGAAGTATAGTTCTAGCGACTGTTGCACGAGACTCATAAGGTCTCTGATGGGATGCGAGGAGCAGTAGGGTGTGGCGCTCTGGAATGCGATGCGGAGCCAGTGTTGATATGTGTTGTGTTGGTGTTATTTCAGTAGATGACAAGATTTCTCCTGCAAGAATTATTTTGGAGTTTGTTTCTCAAAGAATACCCCTGTACCAAACGAACACAATAAACTGTTTGCAGTCAGCTGTGTTTACTGGTATAGAGAGTGGGAAGTATATGAACACTCTAGACAATAGAGTAACTTACTAATGAGTTCTGTCTAGTATTTGTGAACCATCCTATCTGAGTGGTGAGGTATAGGTCCTGATCTTTCACTTTTCTGGTTGTGAAAAAGCTGGAATTCGTCTAATAGAAAGAAAACTTGTTTTAGAGCCTAGAGGAACAAGAAAACATGATTTACTTTCAAGTCCATGGATTTTGTACAGAAGGTGATTCATGAGTTGTGGTCACTGTTTTTGATGCTTCGCTGTCTCCAGCCTCGGGTGGTCTGGATGTTGTGATAGGAACAGTCAGATTGTTTGCCAGTGGAATACTCTCGTCGACCATCTCATTCCAATGAGAAGATGTGGTGAGCTGAGATTCATGACTTTTAGTCGATGGAATTGTAGATTTTCGCCTTTGATTATTGTGTACGAACATTGTGAAGTTGTTTGCAGAGAAGCAAGTCTAATCGTTTATATCGGTGCGGTGTTATCTTTCTTGTATTAGGTATGTGATTGTGGTTACAATACACCAAGTCAATTGTATCAATCTATAACCAGAATAGAAAAACAGTTAATAGTGCTTGCAGCATTTGTTGTATACAGGATATGACATCTTTTCATAATCACTCCGTGTTGTGACTATTCTTACATTTGGAATTACTGTTACATTAACAGTATTTGAGCTGGGTCGCCTGCTGTCTGCCCTTTTTACTGTGTTTTCTACGGTAAAGTATTTGCAAGTATAGGATTTTTTATAATTAGCACTGATCGCGCACAGGTTGAAATCAACACAGACAGCAGGTAGATGTGTGTGTATAGACGACATGCAAATAGGATTTATAGTGGATATATGTGAAGACATTACGCATTAGATAAAAAGACGTAGAAATTTTTTAAGGTGAAATGTCAACTCAATGAATCACGAGTAAATTATTGTATTTTGCCTAGCGATATCCCTATGAGCTACCACCAAGGGACTGTGACGATGCAGATGTGTATTTTTTTTTCCCACCCCCTCTCTTTTTTTCACCCCCCACAAAAAATTAATTTAGAGAAAAGTAACTGCACTGGAAAGACACAGGCTTACGTATTTAAAATTGTATGAATTGTCAGAATAAACTAGGCGCGCCTATGGCGTCCTGGGTCAGGAGTAAACTAAGTAGGAAACAGGCGGAAACTTCGTAAAATCACACTAGATTACCCCTCTGGAACTGTAGAATTTGAAAATACCTCCATGACTGGTTTTTGATGAGTATGTGGAACTAAACTGTAGTGACTGGGGAGTTAAGAGATACATTAGTGTTAGTATGCTTTAAGGCTTGAGATGACGTCTTATATCGTTTAGAGGTAGTCAAACAAAGGTCTAATCTGAATTTATACATTCCCAAAAGCGGTGTTTCCTCACTGACATATTTCTGTCAAATCCGCGTGCATTAAACCACACAGTGGATATTGATCTCCAGTGCTTATGTGATTTGCGTACAGCGTTGTGTGCAGAGGCAGTACGACCAGTACTCATAAAAAAACAGTGGGTGGAGAGCGGGGAGTTTGTGATCCCACATAAATGTAGCACTGTTGTATCCACGCTGCTCCTCACCTGGTTCCCAACTAGCCCGTGCCGATGGACTACAGGACGGGGGGGCAATTTTTGCAGCAAATAAGGCCCATGACTCACAGCGCTTGAGAAGGGTAGATGGTAGCCTGCCATTCACTAGACACTTTCTATTAAAATGTGTGAGAATCACCACTTTGTTTCAAGCCGCAAAGTGGTTTTCCACATTCTCACGTGTTGTGTGCTTCGCAGAACTGGGATCATCGCCAGTTTCTATGTTTCGCAATAGGTTGCTGTCATTGTCTTTTGAAAATACAGTTTATGGCAATCATTAGACGAAAGTTGTTAATCTGAGAACTGAGTCGATGTCTGTTTTTTAAGATATGTTTTTATATAGGACTTTCTTTTGCTGTCTTCTCAATCATACCGTGGCTCAGTTGGTCACTTAGAGCAATTGGCCTCCTGAGCCTGACGTGTTGTGAGGGGGAATCGATTTCCCGCTCAAGAGGAGGGACCTTTCCCTTCAGAGAATGTCCGCCTCTGCTGTGTCTTGGTTCGTCGTTGTCGGTTTGTGTTTTTCAAATCCAGCCGTGTTGCCTGTGGAAGCTTCCGCTGAAAGTTTCAAGCTGTGGACATAGTGCAGCCATCCTTCCTGTGGTTCTTGTCTTTTCCGGTTGAGCTCACTTCTCGGCTTTTAGGCACCAAGTTTATCTTTGCAAAATTCTAGTACGAACAGTTTTACTAAAGATATATCTGGGGATTGTGTATGACGGTAATTGCATATTGTCTATGTAATACCTGTTGTCAAATGTAGATTTCGCTCTTTGAAGTTTTGACTGTACATTGAGAACAAAAAATCAGGATTGTTCCAACATTACAAGCAACCCCCCATACTCCAAAAACTGGTCAGATAGTATCGCATTTTAGTTGATATTTTACCATATATCTATCGGGCAGCCTATTCCATTGTTTGATTTGCGGTTGTACTTGACCTTGTGAAAGATTATGGATGAGACGTTTTTTGAATCATGTGCGCCGTGCTCCCTCCACGGTTCCTAATTGGACTTGATGGAATTCAATATGCACAGATCAAAACACCATGGTATTTTTTTCAAAGAGGATTATACCCATTCATATAGCACAGAACGGCCTGCGTGTATGTGCATATTATTGTAATGTTATCTGCATCATACATTGAATTCCTGCCGCTCCAAGTTACTGTATAGATTAAATAGATAACTCGCCGGTGTGCCTAATTACTGTCTTCTCTGGCTGTTGCCTCTACTAACACGTACTTTAGTGTTTTGCTGCTTCCTAGCTGCTCATTCAGATGACTAGGTCTGTGCTTGGTTGTGTCCATGCATTGTTATTAGAGCAGAGTTGGTGGGCTTAGATTGTGGTGGGGATAGAAGGTCTGGCGAATGTGCTTTATTTAGTGCGAGTGAAAATATGATTGATATTGTTATGATGCCTTCATCTTGACCATTCCATTAATAAAATATGCTGTTGGCCTTATTTGTGTGAATAGGTCAGAAAATAAGACAGCTGCAATCAGTAAAGGAAGGTTCTCCTATCGTGTGCAATTGCGCAAATACTATTAATCATCATCATTGTTTTACTTTGCGATTTTTGTTATGTAGTGGCATCTAGAGGTACCAGTGGGCAAAACAATGTTCAGATCCAAGTCACCCACATTTGCAAGTGCCGATGCACTTAAACAACGTTGTGAAAGAGATTATTATTTTGAGATATTTTTGTCGTCTCTACGATTATGCCTCAACTGTGTGAGGAAAAAATAAGTTGCTAGTATTGAAAATGATCTCATCTACAGGTACTCTTTGTTTTGTTCTGGGAAGTCTTGCACAGAGTTTTATCACGATTTATTTGTCCCGATTTCCTCTATGGCAAGATGCTGCTTGTTGTTAGGGCGCGTGTTAGTGATGTTTTGGAAGCTCAAACTATATTGGCAACATGACTTTCAAGCTTCTCCAAAGTGTCTGCTGTATGGTTGATATCTGGGAGAACTGCTTATTAGGGCCAATCGCAAGATATTTTCTTGTGGGATTTGCAATAACGGCTTATTAGCACGAGACGAAAAGGTCTTTTTTGCACGACCTCGCCACGGCTCGGTCTTGTACAAAAAGGACTGCGGTCTCGATATTTCCCCTGTACAGAAGAGCAAGCAGTAGAGTTAATAGATTGTTTTATTTATATACTCTTTTTAATTGATGCAATATATCTATGGGTGTTTCATACTAGTGGCAAACACACATGCAACCATAACTGTCAAATCTTGACAGATGGAGTATAGCTGGTATGTGTGAGTTCTGGCTCCGGTGACTCGGTACAGAGGTCTTCTTCAATGCTCGATTCGTAGGTGTCGGGTTCTTTACGCTCTCGATATACTTTTGAGAGTATATGGGAGAGTAGCTGTAGATGTTATGTCGTTTGTTTTGACCTCGACTGGTTGTTTCCTAATTCAGGTGAGGTTACCTTTTGTCTGTGTAATGGCAAAGGTTAGTCAATCTTGCTTCTTGAGACGTTGGGTTAATATTAACCAGAATGTGTTTTCCGTTCGGTTATTTGCTGTGTAATACTTCCTCTGAGTTCTTCTTCGATATACTCGTGGCTCGAAGATAGATAGAGTAGTTCACTGTGGATGCTTCCCAGTCTATCACTACATTATTTCTTTTTACGATATTTCATACGGCGCGTGCGAGCCAATTGGTGGCATGTTCGGTAACGTCCGAGGAGTTGGAAAATGTCTAGAGACCGCAAATCATGCCAATCAGAGCCCGCGTACGATCTCCAAGTCATATAATAATCGTCTTTCTTACAAGAACCCCTCTTGCCAGTGTTTCTGTGAATCTTTGTCCATGCTGAAGATCCCAGCAAAGTGACAGGCATGGTTCCAGATGTACTTTTTCCTTTTCAGAAAAACAAGAAAAAACAGCTCTCTAAAGCTATAGTGTTTCTACACTCCCTATGCTTCACTAGTGGGTATGGTGTTCTGCGACTCCAAATCAAGAAAAGGTCTGAATTTGGACACAATAATTGATTTTCCTCTAAGGCGAGGGGCTAGGGGGGTTTTCGCTGTCGCCCTGGGGGTTTGTTGTCGAAACGTTGTGATGTTTTGGTTCAATAGAAGTTCACTATTCAATGATGCTACATTGCAGAAACAGCTATTAACTTCACACAGAAGCTAATCAATAATCATTTACTCATTCAACATTTTGTGAACACACAGTTTTTACGTTGAACCGGCGTATATTTATTACCGTGTATTTTGTGTGTGTGTGTGGGGTGTGGGGGGGGGTTTGTGGTTTGTGCTTCCTTGTACTCAGATTCCCATTACCATTGTAAAAAATGATGATAGTGCGCTGTTCACTGTCAGAGGCAGCTGAAAGGAGCCTCACGATGTAGGAGTTTTTCTGTACAAATTATTCTCTAACGATAGACAGGAATGATTCTTGGCGGCCCACTCTGAAAGAGAGCAATTTAAATTTGTTTTCTCCCCTCAACCAAGATTCATACCTGAAAAGCACCGAAAGCCCCCCCCCCCCCCCCACCTCCCCCCCCCCCCCCCCCACCCCCCCACCCCCCCCACACCCCCCCCCCCCCCCCCCCCCCCCCCAACCCCACCACCCCCCCCCCCCCCCCCCCCCACCCCCCCCCCCCCCCCCCCCCCCCACCCCCCCCCACTCCCCCCCCCACAAAGCTCACCCAACCCCCCCCCCACCCCCACCCCACCCTCCACCCCCCCCCCCCCCCTACCCCACAATTATCTAAGACCATATGATGTGTGATGTCATTGCATACTCAGTCGATTTTATAGTATATTGATTAATGCGATGAACCAATTTTATGGAGCTTTTTGTTGTTCGGGTTTGTGACAGAAGTGGAGGTGTATGTGTGAATGATGTCACGAGGTATCAATTGGAGTCGCATTGTGAATTTATAGCTGTGTTAGATGCCTTAGTTGTTATTACGCACTCTGTAATTATTAATTATGCTATCATTCAAACATTTTTTAACTCATTGTAATTTATTGACAAAAGTATGATTGGTTTTGGAGTGAAGTTAACGGGTGGACACATTGAAGAATGTTGACGATGGCTTCTCCCATGCTCGAAGACAATTGGCCTTTGGTCTTCGTTTCTAGCAGGGGCTTCAGGTCAATGTACTCAGGGCGTCAAGTGTCCTTGCCCGAGGGGACACGCCAGCTTGAGACAAGCAGTGCATCAGTGGTAGGCAGCGGTTGAGATGAGGCACATGGGTCGATAATTGTTGCTTTGGAACCTGATCGAGGCACTATTCAACGCATTACTCACACACCCCCCCCCTCCCCCCCCACCCACCCCCCCCCACCCCCCCCCCCCCCCCCCCCTTCGCCCCCCCTGTGTCTCCAACGGAGCTACTGTTGCTCACTATTCTACTTAGTATTTATATGATATGTATGAAAATATACAAAGATTTAGCAATCTTTAGCAGTCTACAATACACCTACGTTACATACTGTACATCAGGCAAGCGTTAGTGAGAAATGTAGTTCGACGAGGTATGGAATTATAAAATACCCTCATATTTGAGTTGATAATGTGACGTCTGAGTTGGGTGCCTACTATACAGTGCAGCATGGTACTTGTCACATTTTTTTTAACAACTTTTTTTCGATGACATTAACGCTTGCCACTACTCTCTTTGCGGAACAACTTATGGCTGACTATCCCTGATCGAAAACGGGTCTGCTTGTCGGAGTTCGCTGCTCTGACAAATGCCGGGATTGATTAAGCGTACTCATAACAGGGAGACTATAGGGGTGAAAACGTTATGATTGTCCAGTGACTCGATGTACTTAAGTTTGTGCTACAAAACTTTTCGAAACTGAAATAGAATCGACCTGCCGCACATAAATTCATCTCTCTGGATCCTGGGAACTTGTCAGGAAGGTTTGCTTGGTTTTGGATCAGATACAAGTGCCTTGCGAATGTATTCGCCACCGTTGAACTCTTTACAAAAAGTGGTCGCGCCACATGTCAGGCTTCTCTTAATCATAATAGATATAAAAATTTATTTTTATTGGATTGTCAAGAAGAGTCCACCAGACTCGAAGTGGGACAAACAGATCGTGAAGTGAACGGAAGAATTTATTGGATATTGAAGACTTAATTAACAAATATAAAAATGAAAAGTGGGTGGCCTGTGCAAGAGAAAATTATAATCTCTCGGTTCTGTCCCCTGTTTGACGCGAGACGCAATGTTTTGATTAAAGTGTCCTGTGATTGGGAATGTATTAAGTATCTGCCGTCCGCTTTCAAGTTCTTGCAGTCTTTTTTGCAAAGACTCCAACAGGTTTTCTTCCAGAATGGTCCCTGTATTTGGCTCCGATCACATCTAGTACACCGAATCCAAATTGTAGGCCATCTAGCCGCTGTCCGCTTCTGGGCGTTTGAAGAAAAAAAGAGCTAGGCCTTAAAGTCCTTGGAGATAGCATGCCAGGCCACGCATGTGCTGACGTTTGGTGGTAGGATGGATGGTGTCATGGGTTGAGTGAGCTGTTGTTGCTTTTACTACCAACCATATCGTTTGTGCATTGTTGGGCCGAAGTTTGTAAATAGTATTCGAGAGTTTCGGTTTCATTCTGACATAATTAGAGCCCTTCTTATCCACATGTTTGTGTGTCGTCCCAGTGGTTTGTTTGGCAAACCGTTTTAGAGATTAACGAGATCTTTTCATGATATTCTTGAGATAATGTCTTTTTTCTTGACCATCTTCTGCTCCATTAATAAGCGCAGTTATGTGTGACAGCCAGTGCTCCAGCGAGGTAATTTGATAGTTGTTGTCTTCTAAGTGAGCAAGCGCGCGGACATCGTCCCTACTCCCCCACCCTGAAGCTGTGTAGTTGATCGTGCAGTCATCAGATCTTGGGGTGAATTCTTCATGGCACTCTTGCTTGCATCTTGGCTGAGTCTAGTCGGCGTTTCTCCTTGTTTGAGAATGAAGGGTATGAGGGACAAGCCGGGTGTCTTGGTTAGATCTTTTCAGTGGTCTGATTATCTCTTTCCGCATTTTCTAGGAATATCAATTGTTGTCTGGGTGGGTGCTGTACAGATGGCGCTGCCGTGGAGGAGTGTGTTAAAGATTGGCAAGAGAGTTTCATTTGTATCCAAATCTGGCTTGATAAGACTCTGCGACGACGTAGGTATCTAGTCCGTGTACTGTGTGGTTAGTGGTCCTTGTCTTCAAATATGGTTTCTCAATTATTGTGAGGCCTTTGTTGAATACTGAGATGACTTGTGTGAGTTTATAGTCAAGAGCTACGATTGCAAGTGGGATTTGCTTTACGGGACGGAAATCGTTTGGATTTATTTCTTTTTTTGTTAGTTTATTATTCTGGACACACTAGGGTGCGCATTCTATTTTAGTCATCATCTATGTCGTAATTTAGGAGCACACAGTTGGATCTCAGAAGTATCTTTACGCAATGACATTTCTTGGAGTGGAGTTTATGCGTGGCACTGAAAGGTAAAGGGTCTCAGCGCGCATATATATTGCTACGCTTACCACTTTCAGTTTTTATTAGTAAGAGATAGAAGTTTAAGGATTGGAGGGTCCAATACATTTGTTTCACTTCTAATCTCGATTGTGTGTCCCACTTGTTTAATTTATTGTACGCATAAGATTATTACATGATTATTATTCTCTTTGATGTTTGAACTGAACCCTGTATGGAAGATTTTTGTGACGTGTATAATGTGTTGTAGTTTCATAGGGTGTGGCGCCGAATAGCCTCATTTGCGTCATGAAGGGCTATCTGGTTAGTTTATATTAGAGACTTGTAGTGTCTTTGTCTTTGTTACTGGCACTTTGACTATGCATCGTTCACTGGCATGTGAGTTTCGACAAGCTCGGCAGTCCAGAGTATGTGCGAAGACTTTGGTGGAAGAGGTGTGTTGCACACGGTTGTGGATGCAGATTCTTGTTTAATGCTGATAATTCTATTAGCTGTTGTGTTTCTCCGGATCTTCTTGCACTTCTTATGGTGCATGTGCCTGCTTAATTGGTTACGATGAATCAGATAGCGGAGTAAGGATTGAAGTCGTGGCTTTCTAAGCCGCTTTTAGGTCTCAAGGTGTATGTTGCTTCCGTCCCTCGCTTGATGGTGGCTGGGTCGTTAGGCCTTTAGCGGTATAGAGAGAGATAGTGGAATTGTAGGGTTTGCTTCGAGAATCATGATCAACACAGACGAGCGTTTGGTTGATGGAGTTCTGATCGAGAATGAGTCCGCAGATAAGATGAATTGAATTTGTCCTTGTATGATCTGTTTGCCGATCTGCAGTGGGAAATTTCCCGATTGTCTGTGCTTCAGCTACATTTTATGGACAGTATCGTAAGAATAACATGGGCACAAGGAGCTACGACACAATGTTAGGTAGATATACACATATACAAATACGTAGTACGTTCTATGTGTTTTGTTGCTATAACTAACACTTAACTAGAGCTTGTAGATGTTTTGAAAATGCTTGTCGTGAATTTTGCCAGTCATAGACAAAAAATGTATTTTAGTATTTATGTAGGTATGTGCAATGTTATGATACGTACTAAGTTGGAAGATAGTGGCAGCGAATTAATATAGTATATAAGTAAAGTGATCATAAGGTTAAAGTGACATTGTTCTGTGACCCTCCTGGAAGATTGCAGAGTAGTTGGACAATTCACATGATTTAAGATTTTTACTTAATTACAGATTGAAATGAAAGATTACAGGTCTCAGCTCAGGTTCTTATTGAAGCAGTTCTGACAAAGCCAGCAGAAGGAAGACGACTGTACGTGTACTCTCCGTTCATACAGCGAAGTGCATTAGTTCTGTGCACTGAAAACTGCTCGCCAGAGCAGAGAGAAGTGTCCTGCAGGGGGTGACGTCGTCTGGTCCCGAATAGATGTTAGTTTGCTCAGGACCCTCCTGGCTCCATCCCCAGCCTGCTTCACTGTGTCCAAGGAAACAGCCCAGAGGGAGCTTGAGCGTGGAGCTTCTGATGACTTTGTTGTCCAGCTTCTTCCTGTCCCTTCGCTGTGAGTGTCCGTCTGGGCTTTGTTACTGCGAGACCACATAGTCAGTTACACTGAAGGCTGATTGCTCTCAACACACGATAGTTCAAAAGAAGGTCTTCAGGTAGTGCCCCTGGCACTCCAAGAAGACTCTAATGCCTCCTCAGTAGGTAGAGGCCGACTTGGCCCTTCTTGAAAGGGGCGTGCTGTGTTAATGAAGTCAGTCCTCAGTTGGTGTTGAAGCAAATGAGGGAGAACTTGCCTCATGATTGGTACCTTGTTAAGGAGTGCGTGCTTCAGATTGTGTGACTTCGGGGATGTTGTTTAGGATGCGTTCCCTTGAGGAGATTGTTTGGGGCTTTTTGACCCGGCTTAGACGCCACTGGAAGATCCCAAGAAACGTTGCAGGGACTTAGTCTCTCAGTGGCCTGGGAACATTCGGAATCTCTCTTATGTGCTTGAGAGTGTGTGTAGGATTTTGAATGCCTGAGCGTCTCTGTCTTAGAGCTCTACTGTAGTGACGACCGCAATTGATAAAGTAGAAGTAATGATTGGGACAGGGATGGGACACGAACAGTTTATCTACCCAGTTTTGATGACAGATTACGATATATTCTTTTTTATTCGCTGTGTAGTATGCGCCTATAGAATCGTACATTACAGAAGAAAGTCATCTCAGAGAGGAGTCTCACAAAGATACCATTGATATAATCAGCCTTACCACAGGTCAGATTACTGACACC